ACCAAATATGGGTGAAATCGGTTCACAACCACGCCTGAAATCTCGATTATCACTTTATCATGCGAGAATATAAAATTTTCGGTGACATCCGAAYTTAGCCCTTCCTTACTTGTTATTTGTGATTTTTTAATATAATGTTATTAATTAAAAAGTGAAAGATTAAAAAACTTTATTGATTAATATTATTATTATTATATTATCGATAATTTTTTAATAACTCTTGTGGCCAAATATTAAATTAAAATATTTCAAATTTGATTGAAAATTAATAAAAAATATTATTTAATGAATATTGAAGAGCTTAACTAACTATTCTAACGTACAAATTTAACGTTAATTATTGTCTTTTACGTATCCGCCTCCGTTCAATCACTCTTGGCAACGGTTCTTGTCCCCACTTAAAAATATTCCACAGGGTGACACTTTAGATTTAACCAGTGTGTCTGTACTAATTAAATCTTTCAGCGTTGCATTAAAACGGACGTACAAAAGAGAGCTCATATGTTTACTTGCGCTCTTTAAGCGGGTAATTATTTTTTATTTTTGCTTTCGCTCCGTGCATACCGACAAAGCGTAGTGCCGTCATTCTTAGCCGGCACACATAAATACTCCAACAAGTCAGGAAAAATTCAGTCAACAAATGTTGATGTCATTTATTGGACGTAAAATAGTCGACGCAAAGAATTTGCTAGCCCTGTGGAGTCCCCTCAGCAGACGTGGAAACAATTGCAATTTTGGTAAGTAAATAAAGAATTGTTGAAGATTAAAAATTGCGAAATAATAGAAACTGTGTACAATTGAGGTGTTAGTGATCAGTGTGTGTATTGCTAGAAATATCGGCTGAAAAATAGTACTAAATTTGTGTCAAAAATCAGCAAATGGCAGTGAAAGTGTTTTTGTCGTGAGCAAAGGAATGCTCAAAGAGAAATATATTGTGATTGAAAAGTATTTACAAAAATACACATATGTATATATATGTTACAGTTAAAACTAGTTTTTAGACAAAACTAGTTAGAACGCGTTCCTAGTTAGAACACGTTTTTCCACAGCGAGGCAGTTAAAACTGTTCCAAATGTTAGAGTTCATTTGTTGTGATTGGTCGCGAGGCATCACTTGATTCGACAACTGTGGAGGAACAGCGCAGAAAGGAGTAGAATGCGGAAGTACTTCGGTCACCCCGGGTCGGCTCGGCCAGGGTTATTTTTTTAGTACTACGCGAGAGTACTTCGGTCACCCCGGGTATTCGCTCGAGCAGGGTTATTTTTTTAGAGCGCAGCCGAAGGCCGCCGACGCAGAAGGAGAAGGATAGTATAAAACGTATATAAGTATATAAAAATTTGTAATTATTTTATCTAATTTCAGTTTTAACTACAGCTCGATGAGACAACTAGTTCTAACTAGGAAAACCGCGTTATGTCTAAAAACCTGTTTTAACTGTAACATTTATACGTTCATTTAATATATTAGGTTGTCAAAAAAGTCTTGCGGTATTTTTATTGAATTTTCAATTGTTCATGAAAATTACTCATAAAATTACTGACTTGATGACTCATGCCCAGCTCTTGACCGATGCTGCGGCTGCTACCATGCCGGCCTCTTTCGACCAACGCAGCGATTTTATCGCAATTTTCGATGACCGGCCTTCCGGAGCGTGGCGCATCTTCGACCACCTCTACACCAGAATGAAAACGTTGAAACCATCGTTGTACGGTGGAAATGGAAACTGTATCGGGTCCATAAACTGCACAAATTTTATTGGCGGCTTGAGATACATTTTTGCCTTTATCGTAGTAGTACTGTAAAATATGCCGTATTTTCTCTTTATTTTGCTCCATGTTTGCGACGCCATAACTCACGAACGACTTAAAAGAAACGACAATCAATCAAACACGTGTTAGCGCATGAAATCAGCTTTCCAAAAAGATATAGCATGACCCGATGCGTCGAATAAAACTAGAACTACGCGCTCTCAGCGCCAACTAGCGAAAATACCGCAAGACTTTTTTGACAAAATATAATATTACACATACAAGCAAATCTGCGAGCGCTCTTAGTACATTTATATATGCTTTGAAAAATACACGCGTAGGAAAAATTTGGTAATCAATAACAAAAACAATGAAAGTATGCGTCATTTTAGGTGTAAACTGATGTTGTCGATAATGTTTTGATTTCGCATTCCAAGAATTTTTTTATTTCTTAAAAAAAATTGTAGTAAAAATAATTATTTAAAATTTTATTTAAAAAATAATGTATATTTGAAATATTTTCGGATATTTCACAATATGTTGTAATGCTGGAACTCCGCTTTTTGATGTCACTTTTCCGTGTATAACGTGTATTTACCAACAAGGCTGTAGCCAACAACAATAATAACATTTAGAGTCGTTAAAAATTAATTAAGCTATATGTTTTTGGGATAGTTGAACAATTATCTTTAAAAATATATAATAGTGGGTAAACACTTGGCTGTTAAAAGAAGAGTTGCATTAGTCACCAAATTTAGTGTTATTTTAATTTTGAAAAAATAATTATGAGTTTGTAACATGCAGAAAGAAATGTCGTACATTATATTAAATACAGATATATGAATATGTACATACATACCATGGCCATGTCTATCTGTATATGCCCTTACCATTTGTCGGTATCACCGACATTGTATTATATATGTAGCTACCATACAAACTGAACTATCGGCGATAAGAGTAATTGATTACTTTAATGAAAATATTTAATGTTTGTTTTATGTTTTTGTTATCGGAGGAAATACGTATATGGAAGAAAACTACCAATTTGATTAAGTATTAATCTTATCTTGCGATTTTTGTTTTTTTCCAAAATTTTTGTAGCTAATGACGAATAGATTTACTTTTAATAATCAAGTCAACTTTCTTGAAAAAAAAAATTAATTAATTAAGTAGCTATCCAAAAATGCGAAAAGAAAAATTCCTCGATCGACAATACGTCGATGTATGAAGTGTAGCACTCTAAGAAGTTTTCACAAATATGTCCAAAGGAGATTCATAAATTTTGTAACAATTCGACAACCTAACCTAACCTTCTTACAAATACAACTTGGGCGCAATATGAGTCATTCCGTTAGTGAATATATTTTTTTATTAAATTAATAAGTTTTTTACAAATATATTCGAAATTTTTTTAAAAATCTTCACTCAACACATTCTGTTGCTTTACAATCTCGCTACATGCCCTACAAAGTAGACGGCCTCCTTATTTCGTATCGCAAACACAAATGGATGATCCGCTTTGAATACTTTTTGACTCAAATTCAGGCTCATTGGCACGATTTTCATAACTGCAATAAAAATAAATTTATTATTACAAAAACATAATACAAAATCAGCCGAGCAAAACAAACTACTCACATGTGGCCGCGGCCGCCTCGGAGCCAGCCTCATTCACATCTAGGAATGCTTTATGTTTGACATCATCCACTCTTTGTTGCGGACCTGACGCAAAAAGGCTGCTAAAATCAGCTGACCCGCTGAACATATTTACCATACCTAGCTGTAAATAAAATATACACAAATATTATACAAATTCATCATACAATGAATACACTACTAACCTGCTGCAGCGGTTGCTTCAGATCCACTTCGAATTCAATGCGAAACTTTGGCAAAATTATATCTACATCAGCGCCACGCATACGTTCGACAACCAAATTTAGATCAGCATTCGTCAATTTTTGCTCCAACGCCGCTAAACCATCAACTTTATTGGGCAAAAGCACCAGCATTGACAAATCCGAATTTTTGTAGGGCAACTCGATAGCTTTCGCATCCAAATCCGCTAACTCGCCATATTTCACACGCTCATCACCGTACATCATCGGCACCGTTGACGTTTGTCCGTCGCTCATCCGGAACTCATGATCCGAAGTCGAGAACGCACTGAAAGGATGCAGCCACTTGGCTTTAAAGTAAATCGCATTCACCAAGATGGCGCTAGTCTCGGCATTCACAGCATCTGGTTGTAATAAATTCATGATTTTGCCCTCAGTTTCATGCTCTACCCACGTATTAATCGTTTGTACCGCATTCGACGCGTCGGCGAACTTTGTTGGCACCGCTTCGGACTCAAAACTAATTTTGGCAAGCTCATTGAACTTTGCCGACAATTCCAGCGACTCATTAACGTAGACACGATTAGCCATACGCAATTTGGGTGTATCCTCCGCTGCATTCGCGCTTTTATGGAAATTCTTTTGCAGGAATGCCGCATAATCTGCCGCAATGCTCGGTTTATCCAACACGGCAGGCAAGCGCAAGCCGCTACGCAGTTGCTGTGCCGTTTCGCCTTCAGCGCCCAGGAAGGCTAAAGCCAAGCAACTCTGTACGGACGCTGGTGAAAAGACGACATTTTGCTGTGCACGCGTCTGCGCTAATGCTTGGAAAATATCCGCGGCGAAGAGATTGCGACTGGCCGCTAACGAAGGTGCGATGGTGCCGGCTGTTGCCATGTTGATTAAGATTGCAGCGATGAGTGTTTGTATGACTAGAAAAGAGGCTGGGGAAAAATAAAATGTTTCATTTGAAAATACATAAATTTCTTCGATACCTTCGCAGTAATACTTATTAAGCGCATTCTGAACTAAATTTTAAAGGTCTACGATTTTTCATTTTATTTTATTTTATTTATTTATTTTTTTTTTTTTTTGAATTTCAAATAGTTTTCTAGTAAAACATTTCTTTCTGCAAGTTTGTATTGTTTACTTTAGGTCACACCTATTTTGGTACTTGTTTTTGTATATCTCTATATACATCTGTCTCTTATACACATCTAGATGTGTATAAGAGACAGTATATATGTAGTTAAAAAATTAATATTAAAAAAAAAATATAATAAAATAAAAATTATTTATTATTAATTCCAAAGCGTTAATTAAAAATATTTGCTGATAAAGCATGACGCATATCAACACTCACACATTGGAACTCACTGAACGAATTGATTGAATTGCAACGAGCAACAGTAAAATCAACTGATTTGGAACTAATCGTCATAAATAGCATTGAAAAAATTCTTATTATGCATCATTACAGTTATTATACCCTGTAGGGAATCTATTGAGCTTGAGTACTTTCACGAATATTACAATAGCCAGCTGGAAACTTCGGGGACCATATAACCATCTCTTTTTAGCCAAGGCCGTCCCTCTATTCGTATATATGTGAACAAGACCCACAGTTTTTGAGCTATCGGTCTAAAATTTTGCACATGTTTTTTTCTGCTCAAGGATCAGCTCATTTGTCGAAACTGCCGATATTGGTCCACTAAAGCGTATAGGTGGCATACAAAATGACCAATCAAAGTCAAATATATGCAAAACTTTTTTATTTGATGAGCTATATTCACGACATTTCGTATAGATTATTATTAAAGCCAACCGTGTAATATCCGAACAAATTTTTGAGATCGGATAACTGTAGCATATAGCTGCCATACAAACTGACCGGTCAAAATACAGTCCTTGTATGGACAGCTTTTTTATTTGACAAGATATCTTCACAAAATTCTGCATAAATAATTTTGCAAGTCAATGCATTATTATCCGAACAAATAGTTTAGATCGAACCACTATAACATATAGCTGCCATACAAATTGATCGATCAAAAGCAAGATAAATGTACTTTTTACCTCTTTATTTTCTATAATATAAAAAAATGTAACTGTATAGAGTATTAAAGCTACGGTGTAGGCGAATTAAAC